ATGTAATACTTTGTCATATATAGGATTCCAGAGGTGGCCCCCATATGTTAGCATTTTATCATTTATTGCACTTAGTTCCCATCTTTGTGTGGTGTATTGCTCTAATATAATTTTGTAATAGCCAAAACTCTTAACTATCAATGTATTGTCTATTTTAGCCTAATGGTCTCACAGCTTTATCCCATTGGTGCAACTTCCAAGGTATTCATCTATCCTACGATTGCTCCTAAATTAGCACACTTAACATTGGAATTTCTTAATGAAATTTCAACTATTATATCAAAAAATGTCTTGATGTTTAAGAGCTTAACTTTTTTTTTACTTTGTGATTTCACAATAAATAACTAGACCAACCAACCAGACCAGAACTTAACCTGAAAATTCGGGTCGTGATTGAAATGTTTTAATAAATGAGTTGGGTTAGGGTTTGAAATTCCAACCTATTTATTAAATGGGTCGAGTTCGAGCTAACTACAATCTCATTTCTGACCTGAAAATGACCCGTTTAAAAATTTTGTTTCCCTTAAATGTTTTTGCTTGTGGATATGATTTTCTCATTTTTTTTGTCAAACAACCTAAACTCTATAGCTGATAAGTTATAAAAAAAATTCAAAATGGGTTAACATATTAGGTTCGGGTCATTCGAGTTACTACCAGGTTGATTTCAGGTCCTTCTTTTTAACTTGTTTATTAAACTGATTAGGTTTGAATTGACTGGATTCAAATCGTTTCAATTTAGGGCCGAATCCAAAACTAACTTCTCAACCCATTTTGATGCCCCTAGATCCAAGTTTGTCACACCCCAAAATCAAATTTGAAAGAAAGAACTGCCTATCTTATGATGAAAACAGTTTTCAATTTTGACTTATAATGACTTCTAAAAAATATCATTTGCCTAGGTTAAATTTTAGGTTATTTCAAATTTGAGAAAGGATTCACATTCTATTCAATCATCTGATTCGATATAATTTGTACGACCGCTTGTAGACTTATCTTCTTTTAAAAAAAAAAACAAATTGATCAATCTCCAATATTGCCGACTAATGATGTGAGACAAAGAAGTCACATTCAAATCTTCAATGCAAAAGGAATAGAGTGATGAATGAAATCCTAACCACTTCTAAAAAAAACAAATTGATCAATCTCCAATATTGCCGACTAATGATGTGAGACAAAGAAGTCACATTCAAATCTTCAATGCAAAAGGAATAGAGTGATGAATGAAATCCTAACCACTTCTTCTAAAATAATTAAATGTGAAGCAATTAATCAAACTTGTGGGCTCCAAAGTCCTCATATATTGAATTAAAGAATTCAAGATAGCGTAAAAAGTAAAGCAAAACCCTACCCTTTTTTGGTCAATGGGAATTAGGGTTAAGACTTCTTACTATTTAAGGAAGAAAAGTGCAAAAAGAGTTCCCATTAAGAACCCTAATTGCCTAATCACCACATCCTTTAGTCTTTATGATGATTTGATGATGTGATGTGGACTAAGTAATTAATTATTTAATAATTTAGAAATTAATTTTGATTATATTTTTTCATATAAAATAAATCTATTTTTTTTAAAGGAATTCAATGCTATTATTACAGTCCTAAAATTATTATTATTATTATTATAGTGAAAAAATAGAATGTCATAATTTGACTTTATATTTTAGGCTTCGTTTGGGACAGCTTTCTTACTGCTTTGTTTTTCATATCTCAATCACAATTTTTTTTCTTTTTTTTGGCCAATACTTTTTTGTTGCTTTCAAAAAAAAAATTACACTTTAAATTAAGCTGCTTTTTATAACAGCTTTAAAAAATTATTTTCTCTGAAGTAACTTTTCATTGTAGTAAGAAAGCTATCTCAAATAAAGTTTTAGGTTTCATTTGAAACGGCTTTATTGCTACTTTTTAAATGATACTAAAAGCTATTTTAGAAATCATCAAAAAAGTTATTCCAAACGAAGCCATAATCAACTTGATCTAAATGTAATAGGGTGTACAACCTGTAATTTAGGAGTACGATAAGATTTTTCTTATTATTTATGTTATATGGTCATTCTATAATCTATATATTATATTATTAACTTTCTTAATTTTGCATTTGCCTTGCTAGTGTTCTTTTATAACAAAAAAATTTATTATATTTACTTTAAAATTAGTGCAATACAAATAATTCATATAAAATAATAATCTCAAAATAAATCTAATAATTTTCAAGCTCATCCTAATAGAAATTAAATCACAATAACCTTATATATATATTTTTTTCATTAAAAACAATATCATAATTTCTAACTTTTTTTATTATTATTCAAATCATTATCCAAACATATTTTTTTAACCTAAAAGAATTCCTCAATGATTAAAATCACACAATAATAAAATTCCTCCCCAACTAACATAAGACAGAACTATCACTAACATTGGCCAATTTATATTATAAATATAAATAAATCAAACATGAAAATGATTGGATCATTCCTTAACCTACTAAATCTCATATAAATATTAATTTGGACATGTGGTTAATTATGTGGCTTTGAAGAATTCAATTATGTCATCTTGATTACATTAATTAATCATAATCACATAATTAACTATATATAATTATCATTTAATCATCCACCTATGTGTAATCAGTCATTCTCATAAACATAAATATATTCTGTTAGTGATAATTAATCCAATTAACTGACGTGTTTACTGACCTAATCTCCTAAAAAACCGGAGATAAATAATTAAGAAAGAAGGCAAGCTTCTCCACTTAGATTAAAGAAGTAATCAAAATTAAATTTGTTAAACAAGGTTAAGTTAACTGACACATCCAATATTTTAAGTCTAATGACGTTTTAAGATACCTTATTAATTGCTCTTTCTTTTTTTAATAATTAAGCAAATAATTACTAATTAAAAAAGTAATGGTAGATAAGTTTATTAATTAAATTAACCTTAATTTAATTGTTATTGATTATTTGATCTAAGAGGAAGTATGATTAGCATTAATATTAGGGTTTGTTAAGCAATGCTCAAAGTTTGTGAAAGGCTAATATTTTACTAGAAAATTAATCTACTTCCATTTCTTTTATTAAGGGAGTAAAATTTGAACTAAATTAATTGGTCTATAAATAATATTTGCTAGGTCTGAGGGTATAACAGAGTCGAACTAACCTATAAGTTGACTCAAGTTAAGCTTGAGCTAATCCTGACTCGACTCGACTGGACTCGCTAGCTTGTACGTGAACTCTTTTAAAAAATATTAATATTAAATACACTTAGAAGTCAATAAATTTAGCATAAAATTACTATAAATATTTTAAAAAATTATTTCTATTTCTTATTTCAAGATATTTTTATTTCTCATTTTCATAATCTTTTAATTATGTTATAATAGTTATTTTAAAAGAAAATTATGACATAGATTAAAAAAATTTAGAATGGTTTCTTTTTATAAAATATAAAATTTTAAATATGAAGGTATAGTACACCTTGGGCCGGCTGAGTTCGGCCTATTTAAAGTTTGGATATTTTAAGTAGGCCCTTTTAAAATCGTAGATGTACAATTTGTACTTTAATTCTCAAAGAATAGATCTTGGGCCTATTCTTGTCTATTTGCCTGAGTAAAGAAAATTTATTACTATTGGTATTACTTTTATCAACAATTAAATTTATGTTGTTAGGATTTTGGAATATCAAAATTATAAGGTGTTTATGTTGAGATGAACATATTAAGATTCCAAATATCAAATTTTCTTTAGTTAGTTTTAATTTAATAGTTTATGGATTTCTCCTTTTTTTTTAGTTTTATTTTTTCTAATCATTTATATGTATTCTTTTATGGTTATTTTATTAATAGGTTTGGTGGATATATTTTTTTTCTATTTGTGATGAAATCAATGACATTAAGGGGCTATTTGGTATCGGATTTGGGATGGGTTTTATGTCGGATTTAAGGTAAGTCTAGCCAAACAGTTTTCAAAGGTCATCTAAATCCGAAGTGTTCATAAATCATGAATTTACGGATTTAGGGCGTAAATCCGGGATTTTTTAAATCACATTGTTTGGCAAATTTATCAATTTATGGACTACCAGATTTACAGATTTAGTGGAAGAAACGCAAAGGGAGAAGTATAATTACCTTCACAGAGAACTTATGTCGCCGTGAACTACGATCCGACAGGAACAACATCTTTAGAGACGAAAACTTTTATACTTAACATAACTCAACTTCACGTGAAGCAAAACAAGAACAAAGAAGTGCATAGGAGGAAAGGCAAATCCTAGTAACAAAGAAGCAACAAAGCCGAAGAGGAAGCCATTCCTCATGCGAAAAGCAACAAAGAAGCGAGGAAAAACCTACCAAACATGAGATTAATTCCATGAATTTTTAATTAGATAAAAATAATTAATTATATAATTAGCAATATAAATATTAATTAAATACTTAATTAATAATTAGATAACAATAAGTATGATCAGTAATTGAAATTATATTAAAAAAAATTAATGAAGTAGTTAGTTATTCAACTAATACTTAAATAATGATCATTATAATTAGTATTGAAATGTTTATTAAAATATTACCTAAATAAGTAATTAGTTAATTAATAATAATATTATTAATTAATTTATGGCATCATCCCACCAACTTTGCAATAATTAGCATACATAGCAGCGTAGTAATTAGCAACGGTAAATATGTCAATGAAACTCCATTATCGACTATTCAATTATGAGGAGTATCATCTTGCCTTGCTTCACATATGGCATCGTCCCAGCAACTTCAAATAGAGCTACAACTGCAGTTGGAATCGATAACTTCTCATCAATTACAAGCTTTACTTAACCAAAATCATATTGAAGCAGTGGAAGATTAGCAGATAACTCTTCAAATCACCAAACTTTGAATTTTCTGTTTGGGATGATTTTTTTATTGCTTTTTAAAGCAGCTTACTAGCACAAAATTTTTAATTTTTATTCTGGGAAACAGCCTTAAAAAACAATAAGAAAGCTGTCCAAGCGAAACCTTAGAGATGGTTACTATGCTGCTTGAAAGTTTTAGAAAAAGAACAGCCGGAAGAACATAACACCAGAGTGTCTGCTACATATTCACATTATTGACAAAGAGCAACTTTTTACAACGCACAACACATTGATGAACATATAAATGTTTGATGAAATGCCACGCAGAAATTTGATACATAGCTGACAAACATTTGGTTTTGGTTCTCAGACAGAAGTGTTTGGAACTGAGCTTTGTTTATCTGTAATCTGATTGTGCAGGAACTGGAGCACTGAGAGGCGCTGCAACAAGGGATTTGCAAGTTCAGGAGAGATATTTCAGTAGAAGATAACCGGTCATATGAACCAGAAAAAAAATTATAATTCTAAGGGAATTTTGATTAGGATGGGTTTACTGATAAAGGTGCAATATAAATTATAAAATTTTCATATATTGCTCACATTTCAAAAATATGTAACGAATTTTAGACCCATTCTGACCAACAAATTCCTTATGAGATAATTTTGTTCATTTTGACTTACCCGTTGCTTTAGAGCAGCATCACTGGAATTCAATTTCAATGATTCTAGGCGGTCTATTGCTTCTTGAAATCCTTTTATTGCAGCATCTTCATTGCCTAGACTCCTATCCACATCTGCAACTTTGGCAAGCGAAACCGCGAAATCTACAATCTGAACAAAATCAAGTAATCTGAATAAGTCCCCCGATCAAAAAGTAGGAAACATCCAGAGCTACTTAAGAATACAGAAGCAGTTTATTCTAATTTCTAAATGGACACATATTTAGTCTGATAAAGATCATCTTTCTTAATAAAGATACCTCTTTGGGCTACAGTTTTTTACGAACACTATTCCAAATCAGATAGTTCTTATTTCATTTGAAAGTAGAGTTTGTAGACTTTATACAAAATGAATTAAATTTACCTACACTTGATAATATAATGAACTCAGCTTTAAATTCTAACTCTACTTAATCTACCAAGTATTAGAACCAACTGGACAACGGTTCAACCTCACATTCTTGATAGGCCACCCACTACAATCCAAACCCCATCCATGCATACCCGCATGTGTAATGCCACACTTGTCTGCACCCACTATGCTCATATGTGCTTGTTCAAGCTCTCTCTTTCACCTCACATCCGCGATCAATATTCTATTTTTGTGATCATGAATACCATATTTGTGCCATTTCCCATCAGTGGTCTTAGTCAAGGTTGCCGCCAGTGTTGTTGCTCATGTGCTTCACCCTGCTCGGTCACCAACAAAACCAATCTTATTTGTCCTTACATTTGTGTTGTATCCACTATCAACCTCAACTCCCATGCTCTTCCACAACTCTCTTACTCCTCGCCTAAGGGTATAAACTAGTTGAGTTGAGCTCAAGCCAACCTTAGCTTGAGCTTTCGCTTGGTTAATTAATCGAGTTTAAGACCGAGAACAACCTTAATTCAATGGCTTCGAGCATTTATTATGAAATAGAAAATAACATTCTTATTCAAGCAAGTATAATATATTAACATGATAAAAGATATATATTAACATGATAAAAGAATAACAAATTAAATAAGAAATATTTAAAAAAAAAATACTGGAAATAAGGAAGTGAGATATAATTTTTTAATATTTTTAATAAATTTATACTAAATTATTAAATAGTAATATATTATAAGTATATTTTATATTAATAAATTTTAAATGATCCAACTCACAAGCTCAGTGGGGGTTGGCTTAACCTTGGCAGATTAGCTCTTCAAACTTTGCTCGAGCTCGCGGGTTAGCTTTACTCAGTGATACCCTGATCCTCACCACATCATAATCATAGAGGTCCATCTCCAAATTGTCTATTCCTCTAAGCATAGCAGTAAACATCTAATTTTCTTATGTGATCACCTTGGTGGTTCACACAAACCTTTTTGAGAATTCATTCGCTGTCACTTCTCTCTCATCCACCACCAAACCATCTTGATAGCACCATATCTCCTATTAACAACCACACAAGGTTTCATTACAATGTCCTATAAGCTCCCCTAAGGCCACCAGATGATCATATTGGAAAAAACAAAGTTTGAGTTCTTTTTAAAGGTTACAATATACTAGCAGTAGCACCTTTTGATTTCAGCGGCCTTATCAAGGGAAAGCGTGGTAGGCAAGGTTAGAAATGATAATAATTCATCTACGCCATTATAATGCAAATCAGAATCTTCCTGCCTCCATTTTCCCTAGCAGAAAATAAAGGCATCCGAGCTGAAGCCCAAGGGATACAGAAAATGGATCAAAACTTCAAAATTTTAAGAAAATAAGGATTGTCATTTGTTTGATTGGCATTTTACTTAAAAAAAAAAAAAAAACTTAAAACAAGTATCATATTTAAAATCATTTCCAACAAACAGAAAAATAAACTTGTACCATTTCATTACAAGTTCATTCCCTCTGTTCATAGTAAAAACAATTACAATATACTAGCTTATTTCTCTTGATATTAATATCATTACTTTTTCAAAAAGAACAAATGTTAAAATTTTATTGATACAATAACAATAAACATTTATCCTACTATGTGGGATCAGCTACATGAATCTTTTTCTCCATTACATCCTATTAAAAGATAAATTCTCATTTAAATCTAATAAAAAAATATTATTTTTAATACTTTCTAATCAAGTCTTAGGTCAGGACCGAGACCAAATTTCCAGAGCATAAGAAGAATACTTACATAGGAAGTCTAGGTTATCTAGAATACCGGATCTTAGAAGTATAACAAGTAAAGCCATCATTCAAAGTAAATGCTTCATTCATTAGAATTTCACAGAGCAAGAGAGATAAAGACAAGTTCTCAAACCTGGCACGAGACGTTGGACCTCTCCATGATTGCATCACGACGAACGTCCAAAGCCCGAGTATAGTAAGTTTTTGCAGATTCAAGATCACCATCATAGTACCTCAGATCTCCTATTTTGTTTAAGGAAACAGAAAGAGTATGCACTAGCTGGAAATGAATCAAGAATGTTACAATGGCAAGATAAATATAATGTAGATCAGGTGTAAATTTTAAATGTAAAAAAGAGACCCCAAGAACAACCTCCAGATCCTTTGCAGGAAGCTTTGAAAGAAAGTCAGCACTCTCTTCATAGTAGTTTACTGCAGATCCGGAGTTTCCCGTAGTTCGACTGTAAGAATACCATTGTATGCATGTGTAAAGGCATCATGACAGAAATACGTGCAAGATATTTGAATTTTCATAAGAAAACAAGAAGCAAACCAAAGAACAGAATATCCAGACAGGGTCGGGGTAGATTATTGGTTTTCCTTCACCTTTCATCTCTAAGAGTGCTAAGCTAAAAGAATCAGCCGGAATCAACACAAGGATATACCCAATTCCAAAACTTGGGCTACAACTAATCAAACAAATTGGCACCAGAATGACTGGAAGATAATGTGTAAAACTTAAATAAATGGCAATGGCTCCTAACATTCATTTTCGAGGAGCTATTTGAGCAAATGTGCATGTGGATCACAGAGAAACTATCACGATTTAAGTACTTCGATAAGTGGTACTATTAAGAATTCACAATGCCGACCTCACATAGTTCACATAAGGTTAATGATGATGATGATAACAATGTTAAGTGGCAATATGTTCATGTATGTGAACATCAAAGATCAATATATTTGTTTCATTCTTTAATGGTCTAATTTTTTGTTATGAATTGATTCAGTTTTAGATTATTTTGATCTTGTATGACATCACACCTATGCAAAAGGCCTATAAATAGAATATATAGATTGATGTAAAGGAGTCCCACTATAATAAGCCCAATGAATCAATAAAGAAGGCTCTCCTCCCATTCTTCCCACTCTCCCCTTCCCTATCTCTCTCCTTCATAAAAGAAACATCTCTTCTTCCTTCACGAAATTTCATAACAAGTGATATCAAAACCTCGTTGAGGCAATGTCAAGGAGGAAGGAGGTGTTTGAGCTATCAGTAACGTGCAAGTTGGGTTCGCGGCAACTAGCACGTGCGGGAGGCGGACAGGCAAACCAAAGCGGCTTGCGTGTAGAATTCGTGCAAGTAGGCGTGCGTGGTGTGGCCTGGTGTGACTGGGAATAGTGGATGTGTAAGGGCACATGAGTAGGATGAATGCGTTGTGGTTGGGGCTTGGGTCACGTCTGGTGTCAGGATCACATAGAGCTTAGTTCACGCGGAAGGTGGGTCCATAGATCCGCAGACTGGTAAAGGCGCACAGGCAAAGCCGCAGACGGCACAGATTTCGTGAGCAAATGGGCGGAAGGCCGGCGGGGTGCGGTCGGAGTTGGACCGCATGAGTACGGGCGTCGACAAGCACTCGCGGGAAGCACAAAAGGTTCGTTAGCGTGAGGTGGAGTGGACGACAAAGGTTACGGAGAAGGACACTGCGAGGTGTGGGAAATTAAATGTGTGCAAGAAGTAGGGCAGCGTGCTTAGCGCAGATTCTTGTGAATGCGCGCGGTCAGACAAGTAAGGAGAACGTGCGCAAGCTGACGCGCGAGCAAGACCAAGTTGCGGATAGCACAAGGTACAAAGCGTGCTACACGAGCAACTCGGAGGTGTCGATCAAGATCTGGATGGAATTATTCGGATTTGTGAGCCTGTGGAAGGTGGAGCTAAAGCCTGTGAAGGTGCCATGATCGGGACTTGGTGTCGCCTTGGACGGTAGTATGAGGAGAGGCCATAGGGCTAACGGGACTTGTGTATCCTTTCGTGTGGGGCAGAGGCAGATCAATAAGCAAGATCTTTTTGATTTGATGTATCAGAGCAGCATAGACAAAAGCAAAAACAAGAACCTCGGGGCGGCAGGCTGGTCACAAGTCGTGGAATTGCATTGTCGAACAGGTGGCTTGGGCGAAGTCGTAGGTTGGAGCTCGCACGGGTGCTTGGTGAAGACGGGCAAGTCGGAGGGTGCTCGGTGCTCGAGCACAGGCATGTCGGGCAGGAAGAGGTGTGTGGGCTGGAAGTGCGCAAGAGCTGGTGATGCACAAGGCACGAGCGTGCGGATCATGGGAGGAATAGTAATAGGTGCAGGCACATACGGGTTAGAACTCGCGGGAGCGCGAGTTGGAGCCATGAATCAGAACGCATAGAGTAGGTCAGGCGCGAGCGGGATTTGGCTCGATTCGACGGGTTTGCTAGTGGAGTTAGTGCAGAGAGCCGGTCGGATCGCAACAAGCGCGAGTTCTTGTGAACATGTGATTCTTTAATCTTTGTTTGTAAAATTGGATCAAAGTGAATATTGTTATAAATTGATCTAGTTTTATGTTACTTTGTTCATACATGACATCACACCTATATAAAAAGCCTATAAATAGAATGTATATGTTGATGTAAAAGGAGTCCCACTATAATAAGCCCAATGAATCAATAAAGAAGGCTCTCCTCCCATTCTTCCCACTCCCCCCTTCCCTATCTCTCTCCCTCATCCAAGAAACATCTCTTCTTCCTTCAAGAAATCTCATAACATTTTTACGTTGATATATCATGTACAAAATATAAAGTTTTAGAGTTGTATTAGTTGAACTAAATTAGATTTGTGTAGACAAAATAAATAATAAAAGTGACGTCTTATGGAAAACCGTTGAAAAAAAAAGTGACAAACTGTGGATTGGGATACACATGGCTTTATAGGACACGAATTCTCAGACCATGCCTTCCCATGTTAGCAATCTTAGTTAAAATAGAAAAGGGAGAACAAGATTAGAAAAGTGGTGATTCCCCTTCTTATCTCCTTGTCAACCTACTAAGATGCCAAACGTTTGAGAAGATTGAACCATACTAAAGACTCATTCCCACATACAAACATATTCAAAGAAATATTTTAAGGTGTTTTCCATGTGATATCCCCTATGGACACCAGTCTTCTAGAGGTTAAAATGGTATCATCTCCTATAATTATAATATAATCAATATAATAAAATTATTGTGAGGATTAATCTCCAAAACACCTAAATTCATGTCTTTTGTCACCTTGAGATTTTTTTTTTCTTTTCAAATATATGAGAGGACCAAAAAGACGGGAGCAAAGATAATAGCCAAAGGAGTGGTTGCAAGGGGTTAAGTGGACAGAATATTGGCAAGGAATTAAGTTAAACGATGATCAGATATGAAGAAAACAAGGAGGGAGAATTTGTGTTGAGTTGAAAGCTGAATTGTATGAGAAAACCTTTCTAATAAACCCAGTCTTTCAACGGAATCCAACACACTTGTATTTATCAGTACTGTTTGTTTCCCTAGCCAAACTCAATATTTCATCAAGCTGCTGGGGAATAGAAATTTCTTGTGAGCACCATAATAAAAGTGAGTAATAGGTAATTTATGGATATCCTTGACATTCACATAAAGCTAAACTTAATGATTTCTTTCTTTATATTAAATGGAAAGCTTTGAAGAGTTAAAGTTATGAGTTCCACAAAAATCACAAGTCTACAAAATTGTAATAAGTTTAGGAGATCTCTAATGGTTGTTGATCAAATTAGTTAGTCAAACAAATGATCATAGAGTAGACGTGTTATTAAAATTTCTTTGGTGTTTAGTTGGCTGCTTTTTTGGTTCCCAAAACAAAACAAATCCTGCAACTATGCTTAACCTCCCAAATCTCAAGTATTGGGTAAACTAAATTCGGCAATTCTCTAGTGTTTCATTTATCAGACAACAAGTTTTTAGTGCTTCAGAAGCTATTTATGTTCAATTATGCAGTCGAACATCAAGCATATTTATGATGTTTAATTCCACAGTTACTAATATTTCAAGTTTCATTTATGGTAATTGCCTTTCATTTCAGGAGTAAGAACAGTTGCATTTATAGGTCGTGGGCACTCAGAAAATACTTGCCATGAATTTCAAATGTTATCAGCATTTTTCACGATGGGAGAATGAGAGCTTGGGAGTGTCCAAGTGTGTTAAATTTAGCTCTGACACTCTCTAGGTGTCTATTTTTTTGTTATTTTGAATTTAGAACATGGAAGATTGCATGGGAATATGCATGCATCTTGAGGGAATTGTGAAATAGACCACTATTTTGGTAATCTATTTATTTTCCTCAAAACTTTATATTGAGTAGGTGCATATCTAGAAGATTCTAAAAGTTTTCAAAGTTAAATATAACCAATATGTAAAACTACATCTTTTACCATAGCGATGTTATTAGACTTTAAAGCGGTGTTAGGGAATAAGTTTCATGTGTGATAATCCTCATCCAGATCAAGCTTAGTAATGTGATGGAATTGAGCCCAAGTTGTTGCACACACAAATGCACTCATTTTATTGTCTATAAAACAAATAAGCTTAGACTTCCTACAAACAGATGAACAAATAAATCAAAATATGCAAGTCTATAGTAGCATTTGCATGTAACTAAAATAAAACCACTTATATGCATATCTCTAATATGTCATTCGGTCAATCCTTACACAATATATCAACTATTCCCCAATCCCCAAAAAAAAAAAATCCAGGGAAAAAAATTCAAGTTGTAGAGAAGCAGACCAGCAGTCCCCTAGCATCCCAAGGACAGCTCCAAGCTGTGAGCAGAGCTCTGGGGTGTTCCCTTGTGTTTTTAGTTGCTCTCGTATATCTTCAGCACAAATGTTAAGCCTGGATTTGGCACTTTCTACATTTTTACCATTAAAAGCCTGCCAATGAATAGAAACTGCTAAATCAATCTGGACAATGTTAATAAACTAACATAAATACAGGAAAATAAAATTTAACAAAATTCTCTAGAGATTAGCAATACCCACTAACAAAATCAGATAAAAAGAGTCTCTCACAGACTCACCATCATAGCTTGTTGTACCAAAAATGCACCCCTTTCCATAGAAACATCCCCATATATGACATTTTTCTGCTCATGTCCTACTTCCTTGGAATCTGCACTGACTTGAAAGCGCTTGATTCTAGCATGACCATCAATAAATTTATCAACTGTGGCCTGAAGATCATTGTCGGACTCGATCTTCTCAATGTCAGCACCACATAAAGGGCAATCCTTAAAACGAGATATGCATACCCTGTGAGATAAATGATGAACATAAGAATAGTTGAATAATCATATTTTACCAAACGGATACTATGATTAAGACCACAGATACTAGCAATACCCACTTGCAAAATTTGTGGAAACAAGGCACGCATTTACTACTTTCATAAAGTAAGGCCCGGCACAGCATACAACTAAGAGGACCCAACTTGAATGTCTCAGAATCATATCCAAAGGGGCATTTTGGTGATATTGTACCCGAATCCTTATGCTCATCATTTTTACTTCCATCCTTTGTTTTTTGCCCCGTCTTGTTGTCAAACTTCATCGGGCAGCTGCCAGCAGCAGATGACTTGGAAAATGGGCAAATAGAACTCATATTGCCTTACTGTCTATCATATGAAGAAACAAAATCTGTTAGTGCAATCTTCAATATGGAACATTTCATGTCTTTAACCTATGTGTTTAAAGTAGATAAATTCTGAAATCTTTACAAGTCACTCAAGAACCCCAAAATGGATCCACTCGATCTCTATATTGAATTTAAGACTACATCCCATACGCAAACTTAACATGTATCATCATGAATTTCATAATGGCACAGAAGATTCAACAAATTACCTACTTCACTGGATATTGTTTCAAGATTGGCGCCCAATTATAATTTCTTGAAGCTAGTTTGATCACATATAAAGGACAAAAACGCTTGGATTCCCGCAAAACATCCAGACAGATCAAATAAACAAACCTTCAAACCCGAAACCCTATGATTACACCCATTCACTTAACGCTAGACGAGATTTAGAAAGCAGATCATGCGCTGTGCCGGTAAATCTCTGCGTCAGCTAGATCGAGAGAACAATTAAAGTGAGAGGAAGTACCAGGTTCGGTCGCCGGAGCACCGGTGGAGAGGGAAGCTCTAGGGTTTGGTGTGCGTCCGTGTCAGATAGAAAGAGAAATGAAGGGAGCGAAAATTTTTACCAGGTGGCGGGTCCGTTCTACCTACGAGAACCGCTAATTCGGGATAGGAAAAAATTGGCAGGGATATTCTGATTAAATCTTTAATTTCGTTTAATTATTTTTTAGAAATTAATTTAAATTAAATTAAATTATTTTTATTTTGAGATAAATTATATAATTTAAATTTTATTTTGATAAGATTTTAATAAATATTACGTAAAACCAAGATATAACTAAATATATTATTTTTTACAGCTCTATTCTTTCTTAAATTTAATATTTATTAAGCTCATTTAACTAAATTAAAAGAGTAATATACTGCTTTTCAAAATTCGGCCTATTTATTAGGCTCTAATATTACATAAATATTGTATTTTTTATTTTTTTTATATAAAGATTCAAAAAAAAAAACTAATTTAATAGGCTTAATATGTCAAAGAGTGGGCCAAGAAAAAGGTTGGGCTTATTCTGCATTTCTGCTGATGTTCTGACAAACAGCTGATTGTGTAGATTTCAAGATCTAGCCATCTAAATTATCCCTTTTCAATCGGCCCACTTATGTTTGAGCCTTCCTATTGCCCCACTACCTACAATCTAAATTATCCCTTTTCAATCGGCCCACTTATGTTTGAGCCTTCCTATTGCCCCACTATTTATATAGATAGGTAGATATTGATATGTTAGCCAAACAAATTGACAAAATATCTACGTGAAAGAGCAATTTATGTCAATTTAAAGCCTAACAAAATTAGAGAATTTGAAACTAAGAGTTTGTTTGGGATAATCTTCTTACTTTTTCTAAAGTAGTATTTTAATTTAAAAAAAATTAATTAAAAATTTTAATACAAAAAATTGTTTTAGAAAACAATAAGAAAGTTATCCCTATGTAAGATATAAGCTAAAGCATATTAAAAAAAATCTAACAATGGCTAGGAATTTTGTGACAACCAAGTATAATAATAGGCTCACTAGAATATATTTGATATATTATTAGAAAAGTTATTCGATCAAGTAGAAATGTAGAGGCGTCATTTGGAAGGAAATTTTTTGGATTAAATTCTAGACTTTTTGATCGTTAATTTTAGCAAATTATTATCAAAATACATATCTCGATGTGACATATCTGAACGCATGGACACAAAGCAATTTGACTTTACTCCAAATGAGAACAAATCAAGTGCTTAAAGCATGGTTAAAAATTTTGATATATTAATTGGAGTATCAAATGAGATCTAAATATTGCATGTTTAAAGTCAAATCGAGTATGTTGATGAGAAGGGTTTGATAAGCCTGATTTCAGTCAATTTTAAGGTCATTAAGGCACTTAAAAGTTGAAAGAGTTGTCCAAAATAAGGGGAATCAATATGGGTTGTCTAATTGGGTGCTTTGGGGATTTTGGCTTTATATACCAAAATGAATTATAAATAAACCAATATTATTTATATGAAGGGGAGTAGGAGCTTTGACCTTGATTTAAAATTTGAGAAAACTCTATCATTGGACAATCACTGTCCACCCACTACCAATTAGGCCATTGTTTGATTGGCCACTGTTGTAGTGGTCATTCAACCATAACTGATTGATCGTCACTTTCTAAAATTTAGCATTGGATTATTATCGGTAGACCACCATCACTTAAATCAGTCTCTTAATCACCATTACTTTAATACAGTTCCTTGACCACCATGTCCCCCCCCCCCCCCCCCCCCCCCCCCCCCGCCCCCCCCCAATTACATAGCATAATCACTCCGGCCACTATGGCCCAATTACGATCGTTTGACCACATTCACTCAACTACGATCTTACAACTAGCTTCAGTCATTTAACAATGGTCTATCAACTAGTACTACTCAATTATGATCTCATGATCACCATTGTCAGATTATGATCTCTTGAGCACCATCGCTTGATATGGTCTCCCAACCACCTCACTAGATTATGGTCTCCTGACCACCATCATCCATGTACTATCTCATAATCATAATTATTTGAATGAACGCTGATAGTCCTTAATGTTGTTGCTCATCATCTTTTGTAGTGTCAACACACATTATTGTTTATAAGTGTGAAGCATGTTGTCGACAAAAATATTAAAACATGCAAACTTCATCACCCGCCAATGCATATAAGGTTTATGCACATCATCAACATAAAATATTAGCATTCGATAGCATCGTCCCATGCTATTGCCAATAGTGTTTACATACACCATAGCATATAAAAAGGTAGCGTGTGTTGTCAAAATAAGCACCTGCAATGATTGAAGTTCCACAAATCATCATCAATAGTATGAACGAATTCCATCACCTATAAGACAAATGCATGTTCCTAAAAGCAATGCCAAAACTTACCCATTAACTTCATCTCTCACTGACTTTGTCACCTGTCATCACCAATAAAATTAATGCATGACATAGTGTATGAAACAAATGCATGTCATTGACACCAATGCCAATGCATGCCAACGCTAACTCTCAATGCCAACATAAGAATTTTTATTGGACTTTTTAATTTCTAATATTATTTCATCAAAGAAAAATTGAAGATATGATAAATATTCTCTTACAGACAGCTCCAATACCCAATCTTAGGACTTCCACTTTGGAATATATACAATTAGTGTTTACAACATAGTATCAACGTCTTCTCTAATCATTGGAAATTACATCATTTATAATTGATGACATGTACAGTGGTGGAGGCACACAAAGGCACTGGGGGGCACGTGCCCCCACTAGCCAAATGATTTTTTAAAAAAATTTAATTTTTGGCAACATTTTTTAGATATAATCATAAATAAAAAACCTAATAGCAGCTGCCAATACAAAAAAAAAAATTGCCCTCCTCGTCTCGATGTTATCATGCCTCCGTTGTCGTCCTCATCACCAATCAAGTTTTCGCATTGGTAGAGTTCTCTATCATATAGAAGTGAGTCTCTCTCTCTCTCTCTCTCTCTCTCTCTCTCTCTCTCTCTCTCTCTCTCTAATTGTTTATGAAAACTATATTAAAAATTTATTTTTGTTCTTTCTAACTCTCTCATGAGCCAGCTAGGCTCACTTATACCCCTTGCCAGCGACGATGGTCAGAGGGACCGTAGTAGGTGAGCAATGGTACTGGTCAGACGAAGGCTCGATGGTGTCTTCCGAATGGAGGTCAAACGAAGGCCCGACGGTGGTTGTCGGACGAAGGTCAGACATAGACCCGACAATGTCTGCCAAATGGAGGTCCAATAGTGATGGTTAGGTGAGATTTAGCCACGACAGACTTGTGGCGCGGGTTTGTCGGCAGTGGTGCTGAGGTAGAGCTACGGGATGCTTCAAGCCTCAGAGCTCTGATGAAGATTCAGCACAAAGACAGATGAGAGAGAGGGGTGCAAGAGTTATAATAAACATCATAATTTTTACTTGTAAAAGCATTTAAAAGGGAGAAAAATCATAGGGCCTTGCCTAGTTGAAAATGAAGATTCACGAGTGCCTTCTAATGATTACAGATGATGCCTTTCCTTGGGGGAAGGTGTTGGCTCAATGTAGAATATGTAGAACACATTATATAGTTCAGATTGGAAGAATTCAATGATATTAGAGCTATTCTTAATAAAATGTTGGCTGTTCTTTTGGTTGGTAGGAACGTTGTTGGACGTCGGAGGTCAGAGTGATCATAGTTAGTGATGGTTAGGTTAGGTTCAGCAATGACAGCCTGGTGGCACGAGTTTGTCGGCAGTGGTACTAAGATGGAGCTCTGGGATGCTTCAAGCCTCAGAGCTCTCTTGAAGATCCAGCGCATAAAAAGATGAGAGAGAGAGGGTGCAAGAGTTATAATAGACATCATAATTTTTACGTGAAAAACCTTTAAAAGAGAGTAAAACCATAGGGCCTTACCTAATGCCTAGTTGAAAATGTAGATTCACTAGTGCCTTTTGATGATTACAGATGACACCCTTCCTTGGGGGAAGGCGTTGGCTCAAAGTAGAATGTGCAGAACCCATTATATAGTTTGAATTGGAAGAATCCAATGATATGAGAGCTATTCTCAATATAATATTGGCCTATTCTTTTGGTTGGTAGGAACATTGTCAGACGACGTGTAATATCAAAAATCTGCTCCAGGATCGTCCAGGACGATCTGGATCGTCCTGGGACGATCAGTGGAAAGTCTCAAATAAAAAAAAATCTTGATGGCATTTTTAAAATTAAAAATTTGTGCCCCCGTGGATAAACAATCCTGGATCCGCCACTGGTTGGGTGGACGTCTAGCTGCGATAGTCTGGTGGCTTGGCAAAGAGGAGGTGTAGAGGTGGAGCTCCATGATACTTCAAGCCTTAGAGTTCTCTTAAGTATTTAGCCTATGATCTAAGCATCTTAAAGTCCAAGCCCCCACCTGATGGAAAGAGAGAGTTTATTTATAGATTTTGAGAGTGCCATGCCTAGTAAATATGGAGAATATTTGAGGCGAATTCGAAGTGTTCATCGGATAAAGCATATTGATTACCTCAATTATGAAGTGTTTCCCAAGAATTTAAGTGTGTTAATGATGTCAAAATTAGGCAGTCTTGGGCTTGTAGGATTTTTCTAGTCGAGCCGCTCGATTTGACTAAAAGCATGTCATGTTTGAAGATCATTTGATTATCCAATTTATGTTTTGAAGCTTTTAAATACGCTTTCGATCCCTTGATTTGGGCTCATTTGGGTTAGGATTAGATCGATTTTGGTGTCATTGGGTTCATCTCACTTAGATGTTCAATTTGATTATAAATTTGTTAAAATTATAGTTCAGATGATATCATATTTAATTTCAGAAGTTTCCAACTTGAATATGCCTTGAGATTCATGTTCAATCTTGACTGTTTT